TTTTGGACCCAGAGGCATGCAAGGACCATTAGGTGGAATGTCTATCAGCCACAACTCAAGAAACCCATAGCAACCTCAGGAGGAACCCTAGGATTCCATGGAATGATGGCTGAAAATGGCTGGTGTAGAATAAGGCAACCTAGTTGTATCTGAGCTTAAATGGGTAGTCCAGTACTCTCCACCAAAAATACATAAATTGCAAGGACAATGCTGACATCTGAAATATTCTTTACAGACTTTTTTCAATGAATGTCCATGAGATCCAGGATGGATATGGGGAAGAAACTGTCACATTTCAATATCAGATCTCAGTCATCACTGACATGAGAGGACATATTGATGGTCTAATTACCAGGTGAGCTCTCTGCTTGTCAGCTCACAATTGTGATGTTTTTCTTAAAAAATCCCAACAATTTTTCCTGGCAAAGTGCGTCACTCATAGTATTCAGGTGTGAAAATATCATTCATGTAACTGGATTGCTTTTTATGACGTTGGAAGAGTTCTTTCAAACAAACTTGAGAATATGGAGTCTACAATTGCTAACCTCCAAAAAGGAATGGTCAGGCTCATCCATTGTCTTTGGTACATTTTAAGTTTCGAACCCAGGCCAAGCATGCAGGTCAGAAGTTTTGCTTTGCTTGCTACAAGGTTTCCCAGGTCAATAACTCAAACTATCAATACCAAAGACAGCCAGGCACTTAGCATGTCACTATCCTGCCTCTCCACCTAGACCAATCAGAGTACGCTTTGCATTAATGTATAAAATGCAAAGTGTTCTCTGAATAGCTCCCATGCTGAGTAAGCAATGACCTGTTCACAGCAGGACAGCCGCTTGGCATGGGACCTAGAAGCTATTCGAAATCACTGTAGTAGTGATGCCTATACAGTGATTTCCAGCTTTCACAGGGATTGGCCAGGTATGGTACATGCATACTTACATTGGTCCTAGCTGAACCAATGTAACTATGCAAAAATATCCATACCTCAAATTCAGCTAATATTTGTCTCAGTTCTGATTTCCTAACATTCTGGCAGTATTAAAATGTATAATTTAAAGTGAACTTAAAAAATAAAGAACTGAAATGCAAAGCTAGCCGCACACATATAGATTGTTTATTCATTCTGCAGGTAGAACATCATAAATCTTGCTGATTTCTCTATCCATGTTGTACAGTGCAGAGAGATGATTCTTCCACTGTATTTTGACAGCTGGCCCTGCCAGCTGTCAAAATATCTGATAGTGGCTACATCTGATGATCTGAAGCCACTGTTCGACCAACAATTTTCTGTGAATTCTGGCCGGTTCATCAGGAATTCAAACAGTATATAGCCATAGTATACCAGCCATAGTATACATAGCAACAGTATAACAGGGAACATCTAGAAATGTCAATTGTGCTTAAAGCGGAGCTCCACCCAAAAGGGGAAGTTACGGTTTATGCACTGCTTCCCCTCTCCCCATTAAGGATTGGCACCTTTGGGAGGCGGGGGGGGAGAGCGGGTACCCGCTCCCACTTCTGGTCCATTCGCCTAGGCGACTGGAAGCGGAAGGTGTCCTCCCTCCCTCCCTGTAGTCTTTTGGAACACGTGACAAGTCCCAGAAGACTACAGGACCATTCATGAAGTGCAGCGCTACTCACGCATGCGCAGTGGGTACCCGGCTGTGAAGCCGCACTGAAGATGCCGGCCTCCTGGAATACAGGATGGCTGGTGAAATGGGCTGCAGGGGACATACCGCAGGACCGAGGGACAGGTAAGTGGCTGTTTTTTAAAAGTCAGCAGCTACAGTTTTTGTAGTCACTGACTTTTATTATTTGACATTGTGAGTGGAACTCCGCTTTAAGCAGAACCTTGTAGCATGTACACCATTTTTTCCATAACCTTGTACCTATAACAAGAACCAGTTTTTTATTCCATGTGATAATTGTAAAGCTACTCTTGCAGGGGGCACTTGGTAATGCTTGTCCCCAATGGTTACCCTGACCTTGCAAGCCTTCCCGATACCTCTGACACTCTGGGTTCAATAGTTTAAATAGTATAGGATAATAATGCAAGAGACACAATTCTTTAGTAACAGCTCTATATTAGTCTTGTTCAAAAGAGTAGACCACAAGAATAATGAGTTTAGGATATACAGCAATCCCAGTTAATGCAATAAAATAGAACTGGTAAAATAGGAATAATCAATTGGCAACGTTTAACAAATTATACTTGGGTAGTCATGAGTCATGAGCTTCAACTATTAGACTGCAACACCAGCAGTAAGAGGGGGAATAAAAGGCTTTTTGAGTTATCAGCTCCCTCTAGGCCACCAGCACTGCAATGATGGATGCAGAGAATTATGTAAATACAGTCATGGCCAAAAATATTGGCACCCCTGCATCTCTGTCGGATAATGCACCACTTCATCCAGAAAATTGTTGCAATTACAAATGTTTAGGCATTCTGATGTTTTTTTTCTTTTGCTTGTATTGGTATGACACAAAAAAGTGAAGAAACAAAAAGCCAAATCTGACACATTCCATGCAAAATTCCAAAAATGAACTGGAAAAAATTATTGGCACCTTCTCAAAATTGTAAGAAATAATTGCATTCCAAGTTTGTGATGCTCCTGTAATTTGTAATTAAACCCACCTGTATCAGTTAACAGGTGCTGACAATATAGAAATCACACTGGCAGCCAGTTAAAATGGTGAAAAATGTACTTAACCTTTCTATTGTGTGTCTCTGTATGCCACATGGAGCATGGAGAAGAGAAAGAGCAGCAAAGAATTGTCTGAGGATTTGAGAACGAAAATTGTGGAAAATCATGGACAATTTAAAGGTTACAAGTCCATCTCCAGAGATCTTACTGTTCCTGTGTCCACTGTGAACAACATTGTCAAGAAGTTTACAGCCCATGGCACTGTAGCTAATCTTCCTGGATGTGGACAAAAGAGAAAAATTGATCAAATATTGCAACAAAGTATTGTTCAAATGGTAGATAAAGAACCTCGATCAACATCCAGACAAATTCAAGCTGACCTTCAGGCACAAGGTACAACTGTGTCAGCTCGCACTATACGTCAACATCTGAATGAAAAGGGACGCTATGGTAGGAGACCCAGGAGGACCCCACTGCTTACACAGAAAAAAAGCCAGATTGGAGTTTGCCAAAACTTACCAGAGGAAGCCAAAATACTTTTGGGAGAATGTGCTGTGGACAGACCAAACAAAATTACAGCTTTTTAGTAAAGCCCATCATGCTACTGTTTTCAGAAAAAGAAATGAGGCCTTTAAAGAAAAAAATACAGTCCCTACAGTCAACCATCGTGGAGATTTACTGATCATTTGGGGTTGCTTTGCTGCTTCGGGCACTGGATGTCTTGACCGTCTGCATGGCATTATGAAATCTAAAGACTACCAAAGAATTCTGGGGTGCAATGTAGGACCTAGTGTCAAAATGTTGGATCCCCATCAGAGGTTAGGAGTCTTACAGCAGGACAATGACCCAAAGCGCAAGTCAAAAAGCACCCAGAAATGGTTTCAGACTAAGCACTGGAGAGTACCGAACTGGCCAGCAATGAGTCCAGATCTCAATCCCATAGATCACCTGTGGAGAGATCTCAAAATAGCAGTTGGGAAAAGGAACCCTTCCAATCTGAGACACCTGGAGCAGTTGGCGAGAGGTGTAAGAAACTCTTTGATAGTTACAGGAAGCTATTGATTTCAGTTGTTTTTTCCAAGGGGTGTGCTACCAAATATTAAATTGAGGGTGCCAATAACTTTGTCCAGTCAGTTTTTGTGGTTTTGCATGGAATGTGTCAGATTTGGCTTTTTGTTTCTCCACTTTTTTGTGTCATACCAAAACAAACAAAAGAAATAAACATGAGAATCCCTAGATATTTGCAACAATGTTCTTGGCAAAGTGGTGTATTGTCATAGAGAAATGCAGGGGTGCCAATATTTCTGACCATGGCTGTATATAATCTGACATAAATAGATAAAAGTATCCTAATTTGAATAATAATGGCCTTAGAAGAAAAGAGGTCCCTTTAAGTAGAGATTGCAACTTGAGTCCTGTGATGTTTAAAGTTCCTGATATGGTGGTGTCCGGTGTCTTCTGATAGCAATGGTGGGGCCCATAAACAGTAGTGAATACTGGTAATTCAAGGAAGTTAAACAGATAGCATATGGTACTGCTCAAAGCAAAGATTTCCTGATACTGAGGTATAAAGGTGTCTGCATGCAGTGTCTTTAGAGTGATGACAGAGGTTGGGCATCCACCTGCTCACCAATCCTATGGATAGCACAGCCTCCTAGAAACAAGAGTTCTTGCACAAGCTTTTGGCTTTTTTCAGGGAAGTGCAGAGTTACCACCTGATGGCTTGCCAACTCTCTGGTAATTGTAGTTCAATCAGGTACACAGGATGTATTGGCTATAGGACTACAGATCCCACGATCCTATGCTGTCAGAAAAACGTAATCTACTCTGCTAACAGGAAGTGATGTGGCAGTCCCAGTACTGGGCACTAGGGTAAAAAGGATTAACCATAGTCTCATCTGTAAATGTCCCTTGATGGCATAATGATATAGATGGAACCTGCCTACATAATAATCAGCTTGGCATTACTCTTGCAGGGACGGCCTCTGGGAGTTCAATTTCTACAAGTGTAAGCAAGCTCCCAGAACTACATCTCCGGAGATCCTTTCTTGACACACAGGTTGATTTACTAAAACTGTAGAGTGCAAAATCAGGTGCAGCTCTGCATACGAAACAAATCAGCTTCCAGGTTTTTTTGTCAAAGCTTAATTTAACAAGCTTAACTAGTTGCCGACCGCAGATAGCCGAATGACAGCTGCACTGCGGCCGGCCAGTTCTGAGTGGACGTCATATGACGTCCTCCCAGAATGCGCTCTCCTGCGCGCCCCAGGGGGCGCGCACCGGCGATCTCCGTGATCGCTGTGTCCTACGGACACAGCTGATCACGTGATGTGGTAAAAGGCCAATCACAGCGGCCTTTTGCCACGTGATCAGCGGTGTCCAATGACACGCTGATCAGAGGGAAATGCAAGTGCCGGTTCTCGGCTGCACTTTCCTCACGCTGTCAGGTCATGAGGAAAGTACTGCTGAGAACCGGCAGTTGTCAGAGCGGGGATCGGCACCGATCATCAGGGCACTGATGATCAGTGCCCTGATGATCGGTGCCCAGCAGTGCCACCCGCAAGTTCCGCCCACCTGTGCCCAGCAGTGCGCCCACTAGCTCCGCCCACCTGTGCCCAGCAGATCACCCACCCGTGCCCAGCAGTGCACCCACCTGTGCCACTCTGCAGTGTCACACACCTGTGCCCAGAAGTGCCACCTACCTGTGCCCAGCAGTGCCACCCACCTGTGCCCACCCACCTGTGCCCACCAGTGCCACCCACCTGTGCCCACCCACCAGTGCAGCCCAGCAGTGCTGCCAGTCAGTGCCACCAGTCAGTTCCCAGGGGTTGTGCCAGTCAGTGCCACCAGTCAGTGCCCAGCAGTGATGCCAGTCAGTGCCGTCTATCAGTACCCATCATCAGTGTCACCGATCAGTGCCGCCTATCAGTGCTGCATATTAGTGCCGCCTATCCGTGACACCTCATTAGTGCTGTCTATCAGTGCCCTTTAGTGCTGCCTATCAGTGCCCATCAGTGCCGCCTATCAGTGCCCATCAGTGCTGCCTCATCAACGCACATCAGTGAAGGAGAAAAAATACCTGTTTGAAAAATTTTATAATAGAAACAAAGAAACTTTTTTTTTTTCAAATTTTTTGCACTTTTTTTATTTATAGCGCAAAAAGTAAAGCGCCCAGTGGCAATTAAATACCACCAAAAGAAAGCTCTATTTGTGAGAAAAAAAATGATCAAAATTTCATATGGGTATGAGTGCGGCAGCGCTGAAAGCTGAAAATTGCCTGGTAAACAAGGGGGTATAAGTGCCTGGTAGGCAAGTGGTTAAGTTAGAAGCTGATTGGCTACCATGCACAGCGACACCAGATTTTACATTCTTCATGTTTAGTAAATCAGCCTCACAGTGCTTGGGCAGGCTTTTGGAATTTAAGGCAGCAGCATTGTTTTGCTGGGAAGGTAGTCAATGAAATGGATCTGGAGTTGGACAACAAGAGGTAGGAGTTAGGAGGAGTTCTATAGTCCAGCAGGCAGGGCTGAAAGCACTGCTGGAAATTTTAAATCAGCAGAGACACTGTGTAGTTAGGGCAAACAAGAAGTCAAGAGCACCCTGGATTTCTGAGAGATCAACAGGTATATTTCTGTACTTGCAGCATTTTTAAAAGGATAAAACATGGAAAAATATGCATGTGTTGCAGAGATGTGCTGAATAATTTATTTTGCCTAGACGTACTCTTTAAAGCCTAATGGGAATTCTCTGAACCTCCCCTGTCCTCATAGGCATAATGCAGATTCTGTTATTGCCCCATTCTTAAAATGTTCTAAATAGAATATATCCACACAGTCAATCCACCAATAATATGAGTGGCCTGATTTTCAGTAAATGCCATAAAGAATTCAATTAGAAGAAACACAATTTAATCTCCGGGAGAAAACGTCCCAAGACTTACGCCAATAAATGTTGATAAGCTGTAGTAAATAGCTCAAGCAGAAGGCCAAAACTCACATTGTGATATTTCTGCTAATGCAAATTTGCTTTGAGTAATGTCAGCTCAGTAAATACAGTTGATTTGATCAGCTGCAATAATGCCTCAGAGGGAGATTAATTATTTTTACTAAATTACTTAAAGTTCTCTTCTCTTCGGGCAAAGCAGGAGAAACGTCAGCATGGCAATGGGCTTAAATTATTCAGTTAGAAAATGATGATATTGGTTATTTTGTTACTTTAACCACTGAATGGTTTTTTTTTTACTGCTAATTTGTATTTTAGAGAGGATTTCCAGGAAATTTGATCATCTCTTCCTTGGATCCCCATGTAGAAAGTACATTCACACATTTGTGATTTCACCTGCACTGCAGGATATTTCAGACATGCTTTATGTGAGTTACCATCCATCCCTGTGGAAGGTGTGTGTTTATGGAAACTACACTAAATATTCAGCATGCAGGACTTTTCAACTTACAACATTAAGGTGGACCTGAATTGTGTAAACTCTGCCCAAAAAAAGAAAGGTTCAAAGGAGGTCCCAGTGTAACACAATGACTTACAATTTGTAAAACTACTCCACATCAAATTTTATTTTCTAAAGTTTTTTGAAAATTTGCATTTTTGTCTGGAAAAATGTTTTTTTTTCTTATGGCTTCAAAATTTCCAGAGAAGTTTACATCTCTAGTCCAGATATTTATAAAGTCTACTTCTGTTATTCAGATAAGTTTTTAACTTAACATTAAAAGTTTAAAGTGGAACTTAACTCCTCTGTGCCTTCCCCCCTTTTCATCCCACCTTACCTATCTGCTGTTTGTGTGTCAGAGCCTCTATCCCTCACCGCCATCTTTATCCTCTTCAGCCAGATGCCTCTTTTGGGTTCAGGCAGCCCGTCCCCTCACAGAGCCTCTTGGGATATGTGACGAGCCAGTAAGGAGCCAGAATGCAGGTGGGGCCAGGACCACTGTAAAAAAAAACCTCAAAAACACAAAAACCAAAAAAAAGTGTTGGCAGATCCAGAGACTGCTTGTTATTTTGCAAAGGTTCCACTTTAACCCTCGCACTACACTTAACCACCAGATTCTGGATTTTCATGGGACAGAAAACTGAAACTTTAGATTTCCTTCAGCACCAGTTGCACATGGATGTTTTTCAAGGTGGGTTTAATGTTTTGTTTTTTTTGCAATGTTTCTTGCATATGTCTTTTAAAAAAAAACCTCTTCTTCAAGCATTTTCATTGACCAAAGCTCACCAACAAATGTATTTTACTTTGTGTATATATTTTTATGGTGACATTTTGTAGAAAAAATTCCTTCCTGATGTCTTTCAACTTAACCTGCTAAATACTTTAACTCTTGTGTATTGCCTATATGCTTCCTCACCCAAAAGGAACTTGTTCGGAGAAAAATATGGAAGCTACCATTCCAAGCTGCAAGCTTTTCATTTTAATTCTTGCTTAACTATCAGTCACTAACCTAGAACAACTAGCAGCCGGTAAAATGTTGGGACATCTAATTGTCTCTAAGCAGAAAGCATGAGACCTGGAGCCTAATGAAGGTTCTGATTGGTTGCAGGGCAACAACTTAATTCTGTTCTCATTTTCTGTTCTTCAGTTTTGACAAATCCGCTCTATTGTATTTTGCATAAATAGGTTTCAGTGGGATTACAACAAGTGTAACTTGTATCAGCATGATGGATCAGTGGTTAGGATGAGGTTTAGGGTTTAGATTCAGGACTGATTCAATTTTGGGTTGAGGTTAAGGATTATGTTTAGGCGCTCAGGGTTAAGGTTAAGGGTTAAGTAAAGGGTAATTTTCGGGTATGATCATTTATGACACCAAAAACCAAAAACAGTATATTTATATATATATATATAATATTAGCAGACCTCTCTGCTGTTCCAGGAATTACATTCAGAGGAATGCTAATCAATATGGTGAAACCACAACTTCCGCAAATAATTTTGTCTGACTAGACGACTCATGAATCTAGCCAAGCGGAAAACCTCTCCGGTCACTATGCCCTCCTGGCATATATAGAGCATCTGAAGACATGAGAAAACTGAACTCATGTGCCATAAAACTCAGATAGAGTTAATCCATCACAGGTAACAATGAGTCCTCTCAGTTCACTCGCAGACTCAGGTAGAAAACATGTTGTTGATGGAAAGAAAGCTATGGTGCAATTTCCTGACACCTTGCATCTTCAAAAGCTTTGAAAGCTATATATCATTCTTGAAACCTGGAACATTCTAACTAAGCATATGATGAAAACATAAAGAAGCAGAAGGTACCCTTGTTAAAAACCACATGGCTAAATTATTAGTATATAAAATTAGACTCACACACAGGTTGGAGTGAACTGATATTTTGGTTGTAATAAAGTGGTTGTAAAGGTTTTTTACCTTCATGCATTCTTCCTTAAGACAAAGGAAGAAGTTCCATCCAGGGACGGACTGACCATTGGGAACTCGGGCACTGCCCGAGGGCCCAGGATCAGAAGGGGGCCCCATGAGATGCCCCTGGTACCTTTTTCATAGGCTTTTTTGGGTGTGGTTTGAGTGTGGGCAAGGGCACAGGGGCCCCATGGTCCCTTATTGCCCGGGGGCCCCATGAGTTGTCAGTCCGCCACTGGTTCCATCTCAGAGGGTGAAAAGGAGCTGATCCTTTAAAACCACTTGCCGTCCAGCCGCTGTATATAAACAGCCAGACGGTGGCAGTGCAGGGGCGGATTGCCGTTCATAAACAGTGCCCTCCATTTTGGACTGTGTGCGCTCCCTGGGAGCATGCAGCACCGCTATCCGGTGCCCGCTGTGTCCTCCGGACACAGTGGAAGACCGATTGTGTGAGGTCCCGATCATGTGATCACTGATTGGCCAATCAATGACCACATGCTGAGTAGTAAGCAAGATGTCACTTCTCACATCATTGCTTACTACATGTGAAATCTGTGAATGATCACAGAGGTCACATGGTACAAGGCTATTACACAACAGCCTTGTACCATGTGACAAGCTGTGACCAATCACAGCTCACATAGTAGTTCTCAATGGCTGCAAGAATGCAGCCAGAGAGAAGGAGAAATTATTGCTTTTACAGCCTTTATGGGTGTAAAAGCAATCAGTAAAAAAAAAAAATAATAATAATATAAAAAAATAAAATAAAAATGTAAAAACTATTTTTAAAAATAATAATTTTTGGTTATAAACTAATTTGGGTTATTTTTTTTTTTACTAAAAAGATAACTGAATACATTTTGGCCAAGATTTATGATGAAATATTATTTATTTGCAAAATTTTATAAGAAAAACACTTTTTTCAAAATTTTTGGACTATTTCATTTATATAGCAAAAAAATAAAAATCCCAGTCGTGAATAAATACCACCAAAATAAAATATAAAAGTTGATGCAGCGCTAAAAAAAAAACTATACCTAAATCAAATACATAACCAGAATGTATATATAGGTATTTAAATGATCCAAAACCACCTGGGGATAAGCAGAAAACAGTGGCCCTTAATAGGCTGATAATAGTGGTTAAGTGCAGGGTAAAGTGTCCAAAGTACATATATCTACAGGGGTGCAGGTGAATCACAGCACACTTCAAAAACGTGATCCCAGGCAGTCTTGCTGCAATGGCCTCTCACCTCCACTCTATGACCCTACAGGGCCACAAAGCGTACTGTAGATCACGTCGGAATCCTCCAATTCAGGGACTCTTTTGATAGGTTGGTATCACATGAACAAGGACACAATTCCTCCAGACCAGTAGGTAAACGGAAAACCCTCTCTCCTCCGATGTTACAACCGCTCATAGGCTCATAAATGAGGAGATAAACACAGTCCTC